CATTTTGTATTAACTAGCAGCCTCTCTCTCTCTCTCTCTCTCCTCTCTCTCTCTCTCTCTCTCTCCTCTCTCTCTCTCTCTCTTCTCTCTCCTCTCTCTCTCTCTCTCTCTCCTCTCTCTCTCTCTCTCTCTCTCTGTTGAGCCAGGGGTCTTTCATATTTCTAAAGCATGACCAAGGTCACTGGGTTTCTGCATTATAAATTCCACTGGAGGCCCAATACTGGCTGGCAGTGGTTGGCACAGACAGCACAAGGTGGCATTTTCTGTTCCGGCTTTATACCAACACTAAACTAATCAACGTTCAGGAGTATTCATTCCAAATCCCACTGATTCTTACTTGAGGAAAAGTAATTAATACTTGCCTTGCAGATAAATGAACTGATGTCCCAGTCAAATTAAATAAATCATTTGCATCAAAGTGCAGACTGCTCTGCCTTTTTGATGGTTTTTGGTAGAATCAAATCACAATCAAAAGTGTTTTAGTCAGACAGAATGAATTAGAGTCAACTCAAGGGACATGACAGTGTTTATATATTTCTCCTCCTCTGGAGTCCTTTCATTTCTCTTTGTCTAGCCTGTCAGTAAACAAATACAAACACCTCATTTGCATTTCTGAGAATCTGTCATTGTTTCTTACATCAACAGGATAATAATGGAAAGTGATATCTTCTATTATTGCTATCTCCCACTGTATGGTTGTATAAAACTAAATCAAAAAGATCAGTTATTGCGAAGCGGTGCACAGATTACCTTTTTAACTCTTTATGATCCTTTCCGCTGGTTATCTTAATGAAATATATTATAAAATCCTATTCAACCAGGAGGCCTGTCTCAAAGGATGCAAGGTTTCTCTTTGCTTCACTTATGTGATCTATGTGCTGCGTGGCTTTTGGCTTTGAGGTTGAGTGTGTGTGACATGTGAATGACAGCTGGCCCATCTGGGAGAAATCTGAGAGTGACACTGGGACATCGTTCCTATAGAAAGCTCTGCAGTGCTCACCCACCCACAGTACCTTCACTGTGAAGTAGGATTCTGTGGAGAGCAGGCATGGGAGAACTGTATACCTAAACTTTATTAATCTACTTTGAACACTTATTTTTACATTTCTGTTTCTTTCAATGGCGGGTTATACAGTAGGAGAAGTGATTTTAAAATGTATGAAGGATAAATCACTTCAAAGCCTCTTGTTTACCATATTGTTTTTTAGAGAAGCGGCAGAAAAATATTCTCTTTTCTGTGAGGAATCACTTGGACTTTTGGGAACATGCTGTCTTACATTTGAGAAAATCATGTCTCATTGTCGCTTTAAGCACCCATTTCCTCTTCCTCAAATATTTTCACACGCAAGGGAAGTTGGAGACTTTGAAGTTGTTTGACTAAATGAGGAGTAATGAGGCACTTGTTGCAGTTCACCACCGGGTCAAGATGGTCCCTGTTATCCCAGAGTTTGAGCCCTTATAAGGTTGCTTAATATGATACTTTCTAAATTGAAGGTTTAAGTTACTTAATTGCACATTATTATAACATATACGCATTACAGTCTGCTGTAGATGGGGAGCAGGAAGTTTCATAGGAATGTCATCCTCAAATTGACAAGTCAAAATGTTGGTAAGGCTCCGACATTTTAGCTATAGCTTCATCAATTTAAGATATATAGAAAAACAAGAAGATGGCCGAACTGGGGCTACAGTGACTACATGAAGTCATCTGTCCAATGGATACACAGAGACCAAACTGAAATCAACCTTCTATCAAACTACCCTTATATTGTGTAAGTAACATTGGATTAGCACTTTAAAAACAGTTTTGTTTTATTATGCTAATGAGCAACATGCTAACAGACCAACCGAGGATGATGAACAGGGATGTACAGCACCTGCTAAACATCAGAAGTGTTGGTGTTGGGGCCAATACTGCCTTATGCAACTGCAAACCTTGACTTTTTGTTGTTGCAATGTATTATTTCTTGATATGTAACATAACAATGCACCAGCACGTTGTAGTAGCATTTCCTCCTCATACAATGGCAGTGAGTGTAGGAGGCATAGGGCTAATAAGCATATAGAGTCGTGATTTTTGAAAAGCTGGCAGCCACCCTTCTTTTCCAAAGCTTTTAGCTGGAGCGATTGAAATGTGCTGGAGTGCTTCACTGTGACTTGGGGGCAGTAGTAGTGTGTTATTACTGTGTTAAATAAGGAGTGTGAGTTCATCAGTGCCTGTTGTTTCTGCTCTTCTCTCTCTCTCATCTTCTTTTCTCTCTCCTCTCTTCTCTTCTCTCTCTCTCTCCTCTCCTCTCTCTCTCTCCTCTCCTCTCTCTTCTTCTCTCTCTCTCTCTCTCTCCTCTCACAGAGACACACAAAGACTGTGAAGGAAAATAATTTGTCAGCAACAGTCTGGTTCCCTGTCACCTATCTTCTCAACAGCTTCTTGAATGCTTTTCTAATGCTTTTTCTCTTCATTTTGCTCAAAGCCTCAAGGTTAAATCTTCTTAACTGGTTTAACTGCACTCAGAGATGGAAGAGAAGATGATGTGTTTAACTGTGTCACCTTGACTTCAATAATACACCCTACAAATGAACCACAATCAACTGTAAATGGAAAACAAACGTTTTTTATTTACTGATATAATGAAATCAAAATGGAACTGGTCACAAGAGAGTTTTATTTGTGTCTTAGCAGCATTGAGCCACACATAAAACTCCATTAACAGATCATTCGAAACAACAATTTAGTATGAAGATGGTCGCCAGCCATGAAGCAAATCATCATTTTAGTTACGGTTTGCTTCAATCTCCCTTACGGATAGGTTATATTAAATGAATAATGATTATTAAATGTACCATGTACTTATAGGTAATACAACACTGGCAAATGTTAAATCTATATGAAATACATGTGGTTTATTGTTCATGATCTGGTAATTGATATCAAATTCAATGTAACTAAAAATAATAGTTTTGAAGTGTTCAGCAATTATTTTAGTACTGTGGTTTTATTTAGAGACAGTTTTTGTTTGTTTATTATTGAGGTTATTTTGGCGCGGGCTCTTCTTGAAGTGTTACTTTAGAAAAGGAAAATGGATTCTGGTTTTAGTTTTCTATCCCCTCCACATAAACTTAACACTGTGATATTTGATGAATTTAAGAAGACTTGATTCTCTGGGAATGCAATTATTGGCAACATGTGCGAATCTATTCACTGTAGTTATAGTAAATCGGTTTGATTAAGATTGACACAAGCTCATAAATAGGTAATAATGAGGTGCAGTTATCAGTTTCTGTCCATGCACTAAAGCAACATAACATCTTTCCCCAATGTGTTGACAGCAGGACAGGATCCATCAAAAAGGCAAAGTCTCAGAAATACAAAAAAAACACTGATGTTTGTGTTTCATATGTGGGGCCCAAACTGATGCTATCCCTTTCAAATGGCACGCCAAACACCTCACATGGGATACGGCATGCAGACTCTAATTTTCACAGAAGTACAATGCAACTCACTGAATACCAACTATTCAAACCCATTGATATAATCCAGAAATCCTGAAAACAATGTGTGCTTTGATTGGTTCAAACACAGCTTTTTAAAGCCGATTTCCCCCAGTGTTTTTGTAAAGCACTAGTCTGTGATGGCTGCTGGCTAACAGGCTATTTTTTCCTCAGCTTCTATAGGAATGTTCTCTTGAATCCCTTCATTGCTATTCATCAAGGTCACTAAAGGCGTCCTTGTCATTTTCCTTGCAGAGCAACTGTCCTGCTTTGCAGCCCATTATGTATTCTGTAAAGCCTCTATGTGCCTGGAGGAGAGAGCAGGAAGCAAGCTAGAGCGAGTGATATGTTTAAAAAAAAGGGTTTAAAAACCAAGAGAATAATGGGTTAGAAGTGGGAGGCAAGACTGAAGTTTTAATTTGAGACAGACGGGAGATAAAAAAGCAAGATGGAGGATGAGAGCAAGGAGAACAGGGACATGGTAACATTACAGAGCAACAGTGATCTTCGAGATGAGAGCCTAAAGCAAGAAAAAGAAAGAAGGGGTGTAGGTAGAAAGAAAGAGAGTGTTAAATGGCTGCAGCATTTGACACTGATTTCATCAGGGCCCCTTAAGGGCAACTTATGTGACACATTGTGTGTTAAGAAGCAAGGAGAGCGAGCATATGGTGGCATGCAATATTGATGGTGCACAAGTGCCCATCTCTCGATGTGGCATAATAGCCCTGCAGTGATTTGAGAACATAATTCAACACCCAGTGCTGTTGCCCCCCAGTCTCTAGTTAAGACATTAAAGATTTAAAGACAAAAGTGAGTACAAGCTTTTTCTGCCTCAGAGTTACACAAAGAAGAACTTCAGTAGAGAGGGAGAACTGGTCTAAAAGAGGGACGAAAGATCAAGGAAAGACAGAATAGGGTGGATGGGCGTACATGGGAAAAGGGAAGTGAAAGAGAACAAAAGGAAGATGGATGGATCGAAGGATCAAATGACAAAAAAAGAGGTTGCAGTAAATATCTCAGATGACCCAAAAAAGGCATAAAGAGACACAAAAAGAGGGAGGTGGCAGCTTTGTTAAGCCGGTACTTTAACACACCCTTCAGAGGTCAAAGGTCAAGCCCCTGTAGTGTGTATGTGGATAGGTGTGTTAGCGCCTTGCGCCTGAATAGCTCTTTAGATTTGCAACTGATACAAAAAAGCCAGAGGGGACTGTTTGCTGGTTTGATTTGTGGTTTAAGATACCCTTATACCTGTTCAAATGGTATGCATCCATCAAAAAAGTAAATTGCACCGCCAGAAACCCCCGGTGAGAAAACTCTTTTTCAACTTCAAAGCATCTCAGAGGCGCTCATTGAACATGCATCGATTCTGCTGCCTGTTCCTCCTTCATCATGACTCACAGAGATGGAGTGAAAGCCCCTTATGCTCTACGCTGATTCAGGATCAGATAACCTTACAAGAATCTTAATCGCAGCAATTAAGGACTCAGAAGTCGAGGGGTTATTAAACATACCTTTCTGTGGGAGCGTAGGGGTGGGCAGCATGCAGGTGAGGGCTCATCTTTGTCTTCCTCTTTCTTAGTCTGGCTGTCCTTCTTTAGTGTCCGGACATAAGAGATTCTCTTTTTAATGCTCCTTTCCTGCTCCTCTGCCTCTGCTTTGGTTCTGCTTTGTTGGCCCCAGTTCTGACTATCCTGGGTGGGACGTCCCAGGGGAGCAGGTGTTCCCCGCCAACCGGTCTCCAGGTAAACATGAACACACACACACAAGCCAGTGAGCAGAACACCCACACGGCAGCAGCAGTCCCCAGGTGAGTCTCTCTCTCCCCATGTCCCTCTACTCTGTTGTCCTTTCTCTCCCCTCAGTCCATTTCTTCTACTTCAAGTTTAGTTTTTCTCTTTGCTGTTTCTATCCCATTCTTCCTGTAATTCTTCTTAAAGAGTTATTTTCTCCTCTCGTCCAGCTTCCCTTCAGGTCCAAAGTCCTGACACAGAGCAGCAAGTTAATGAAATACAAACATGTCGTCAACGAAACCTCTGCGCATGAGTTATCCCACATGTGTGAGCCTGCATCTTAACCTGAATTTGAGCATGCTAAAGTTCTGTCATGAGGCTCTGCAAACAGATTCAAAAGTACAATGTGTGCCGCCCTCTTTAAAAACGTTAGGAACTCCCTCTCACACTCTCAAGTCCCCCTTTTCCCAAACACACACACGCCCCTTTAATTTTCTTTCTGTCAGGCTCATATCACACACGCACCCCTCTGTTGCTCTGCCCCCTCACGTCCCCATCCCCCCCCCCCCAGACTCTCGGGTTACTGTGTAACTCTAGATATGGGCAGGGCCCTCTCAGCAGCTGCGAACAAGTTGGTGCTCTCTCCAATCACAACAGCTTTGCCTGGATTTGTACGCTTTTGTTTTGGCCATGAAAATGGATTATGGAAAAAGACATCTGATGTGTTAAGCTTCTCAGTTATTTTCCCTATTCTATTTCCAAAGACATGTTATTACAAGGATCATTTTCTAACCATGTTCCACTTTAAGCTGGTGGCAGTTTCTTATTCACCATACTAAAGAAATTGCAATCTTTATATAGTGAGTGCTGTATGCCAAACTGACATTTTGTGTTACTGGCAAACTCTGGCAACTTTCTGAAACTTCTGAGTTTAGTTTTCTTTGGCTTTGATTTTTAAAAATGAATTTGCAAGCAACGCTGGTCTCGGTATCTTCTTAAGTTATTTAATTAACTTTGTCATTGATTTCTCTCCAAAGCCCCCCTAATCTGCCATTATTTTTTAAAGCAATTGGTAATCAGAGCTCCTTCTTGGGGTGTATATTAAATCTGTTATTGATATCTTCGACTAAAAAAGGACTCATAATTTATCATGCCAACTAAAGCGGATTATTTTTGGCTCACAACATTTTGATTGGAGGCAAATTGGGATTTGGCTGTCTTCAGAGAGCTTAAACTAAGAAATGAAATGCAGGATAATGATAAGGCTGCTTTTTTTTCTGATGTTTAGAATCAATTACAAACTTTTTGTTTGGATAGTGGCTTATAATTAGCTCTCTACTGCCCTCTTTGGAGTATAAATAATACTTTCACTGCCTCTATTAGTAGAGCATATGCATTAGATGTTAATGAAAAATTCCAACTCAATTTCGTATGATCTTAATTTACTTTCTGACAATTTTTCAACAATTTACTGTCTAAAGGCTATAAACATACATGTAAACGACATAGATTTGTAGTAACATTTGATTGGAGATAGTCATATCGACAGTGAAATAAGGTTTATTTCAGGGACAGTGGCACAATTAGGCTCTGCTTGTATTCATGCAAGTTACATATAACATGTTTAAAATGCACAACGTTTAAAGACACTAGAAGAATAAAGTGATACATTTATTTTAAAACCAGTTTGGTTAAATCTGCTTAAAATCTCTTTACATCCCTTTAGCAATCAATGAAATCAATGCTCTCACAAAAAGACAAATAAAAACCTGTCAAAATATTTTCTTGACCTTACTAACTTGACAGCTGCATCAACCTACAATATAGGGGTGTCCTGATTTACATTTTCAATCTAAATCTATTGAAATAAGCTTTCAATTACAGTCATTGGAACATAAAAGGTAACATTTTCCTTGTGGTTAATATACCCTATGCTGAAACTCAAATGAATGACAAAAAAATCCATCAAGTGTAGTTCACAAAACTCAGACTTGCAACTATCCAGATCTCTACTGCCACCCGGTGGTTATACATGAACCCTCTTCACCTCCATATGGAACTGATTACAACCTGATGTGAGTCTGTGAATGCATGAAGTGATTTGGTCAGATGTTAATTTAGCTGGTTACTGAAAGCAATGAGAGTATAAGGAAAGAATGCAGCCTGATAAACTGACTGAAAATTCATGCAGAAATGGTTACTTTAAGCACAACCATATCTGGGCTCTCGGTTTTTACACATGTACAACACAGTGGTTGGCAATGTTTGACTGAATGTGAGGACGGATTATGTCATGTGCCTACTCACAATAAAAAATCTATTGTATTCTAAAAAACGTTTAACAAAAGGACCTCAGGATATAGAGTCTTTTTTCACTCTCTGTAGACAGTCATACCAACACAGTCTCACTCCCTGAACGTCCAGGAGCGACGCTTGGTCAGGGTGCTGTGGCGTGCAGTGTGACGCGCCGAGTCTCCTTCAGCTTCATAAACGGACGCAAAGAGCTTTCAACTGATTGCAATGTATTCCCATCGGCGGCGGTATTTGACGCTCAGGGAAGCACCGCATAAAGTAACTAAAATAAATGTAGTGGAGTAAAAATACCAGGTTAACCTTAAAGAAAGCCCTCAGGATTATTAAAGACCCCCATCACCCCAGCCACAAACTGTTCTGTCTGCTGCCGTCTGGCAGGCGGTACTGCAGCATCAGGACTAAAACCACCAGACTCAGGGACAGTTTCATCCCACAGGCCAGAAGACTATTAAACACCTGAACTTTGAAACAACATCCATAACATTCATCTGGCTGCTACTTAGAAATTATTTGTCTAATATATCATATTCCAATCACTTGTATAGACTCTTATTGCACTATTTCACTTTTTACTATTTTACTATGTTTCTTTTTGTATTTACTTGCACTATTCTTTCTGTGTATCTGTTTTATTGTGTTGCACTGTTGGAGGAGCCTGTGACCTAAGGGGGGGGGGGGGGGGGGGGGGGGGGGGGAATAGTGTGCCATCGATGGGTTTCATTCCATTTCAAAGTGCTGTTTGAGCTAGGTGTAAACTTCGCGCACTGCAACTCCAACATCCAATCACAGAGCTTGAGGACTAATCGCGGGGTTTGTGAGCAAAGCACATGGTGTAGTCCCAAACGATAGCTGAGGATTCTGGGTAGTGTAGTGTCTTCTGCCATCCTAAACTCCGAAAAAATATTTGTTTCTCCGAATCGAAGGGGAAAAATACAAAAGCATTGTACACAATTTAAACCAATCAATGTTGTGTAATTAACAAGGATAATCTAGTGTTTTTGAGTTGATGAGTAGTGCAGATATCACTGTAAAATCAATCGACAGTAAAGAGAATACTTACTTCCGGGTGTAAAATCCTCCGTTATCCAATGGGAATGGACACTCACATTGCCTTTAACTGCCGCCGACATGGACCGATGCGGTGCTTCCCTGAGCGTCAAATACCGCCACCGATGGGAATACATTGCAATCAGTTGAAAGCTCTTTGCGTCCGTTTATGAAGCTGAAGGAGACTCGGCGCGTCACAACTGCACGCCATAGGACCCTGACCAAGCGTCGCTCCTGGACGTTCAGGGAGTGAGACTGTGTTGGTCATACACATATATATGCAAACTTATTTCCTCTCTTCTCCTGTCTCTACCAAAATAAGGTCCAGGGAGCAAAGACCATGTTAACTTGATCAATTGGCTTCTTCTTATTGAGACGTGTCAACCAAGCTTTGGCTCACACAATTTGTGTGCACATATGTGAGTATCAGCTATAAAAAGTGTGTGAGGTGAGGTTACAGATCGGCACATTCCTTTTTAGGTTTAGAAATGTAAGATAAAGAGTGAAGGCTACATGCAAGTGGGAGTTCCCTTACGCTATCACGTAAACCAGGGGTCGGCAACCTTTTTGATATGAAGTGCCATTCTAAAAAAAAAATTTTATCAGCGTGCCGACGATTGTGAATTATCAAGGGGGGGGGGGGTTGAAGAGCTCGGCGAAAACACTCGTGAAAAGTGATGTTTAAAACTCAGTTAATGGGGCTCATTCACTGGCAGTAGCGTGGCGTGGGGGAAAATGTAGGGGAAGCCCATTTTTTTGGGTTGGTTGGGGGGGGGGGGGGGTGATCAATAACGTAACCAGATGAGTGATTACAGCGCCCGGTATCATTTTACACACATTTGTATCACACAGATGCAGGACTTGCACACGCCTGTTATCTAACCGACAGGTCCGCACACACTCTCCAGCCGAAACTCTCGTTTTATTAATTTAAGCATTTTCTTATTAATTTATGCAGACACCCCCCCCCCCAAATGCAATACCAGCCGCTCAATGCGCAGTGCATTCATTCACAAAGTAAATCAGGAGACCTTTAAAGTTTTATGTACACATCAAAGTATCAGTAGGCGTGTATGAAACACATGAATTCAAAAACAATTATGTACAGAAACATTTGCATGCGATAGTCCACCTTCTCTTCCCTTCCCTTTCTAACACACGGCAAGTGCAGCAACAGTCCTCGTCTCTGTAATTAGCTCAGTCCGTAGTCCAAAAGTAACTAAAAAATATAAACAATCTCATCTATTCAGGTGAAATCGCCAGCCGCCTCTGAAGGGAAGCCAGAGAAAGCTGGCTTCCCTTGGCATGGCCCTGACCAATCACAGGTTGGCAGGGGCATCACGTGGGCCTCATCTGATTGGTCAATCCCTCAATTCTTTTCACCAAGGGAAGCCCAAACTGACTGGCCTCCTCTCGCAACAGTGAATGCAATCTACTGTTTCACCATAACATCTAGAGGGGCGCTGATTGTTTCACTCTTTGTAAAATACTCAATGAGAGTGGGGGAGAGACGGGCCGGCAGCAACACACAGTAAAGGAGAATTATCGAAACAAAACAGTGTTTTTATTTATTTAAATTATAACTACAATCCGAAAAAACAGGGGAAGCCTGGCTTCCCTTGGCCTCCGGGAGAAAACGCCACTGTTCACTGGCGCTTCCACAAACAACCAACATAATTGTTACATTCAAATGAAGTACATTATTCAAGTTTACATTAACTTTGGATAATAACACGGGAGAAATGAGCGGAAGCGCTCTCTTTTCCTCTCTCCCCCTCTCTCTCTCTCCTGACAGCCTGTCAGAGATCTCATGCAGCTCACTGATCCAGTAATGAGTGACAGAGAAGAATAAATATATTTATAACTAGTTCCAAAGGTAGATAAAATAGCTAAGTGTGTTAGGTCTAACTTGTGTGTTTTGCTCCGCTCACCGGTCCGTCACAGCGGGTGGAACTGCAGGATTTCTGCTTCACACACGTTGCACCGCTATTTTATTGTCATTTTCGGACACCTTAAAATACTGCCAGACTGGTGAAGCGATT